AAGGAAATAGTGAAAGCCGGAAGAAAATTATACTATCATCGGCCCCAATGCTTGCGCTTAGCGTAGGATCCATATGCATGCTGGGTTTGGCTTATCGTGAGTCTGAGTATTTATGTGCTCAGCGAATAGAACAATTGACCAAGTAAAGAATCACCCTCTGAATTTGTAGACTTACCACTGTAAAACTGTGTAATATACTTGCCTTTTCATCCCCGACATTGAGACCCTCACTAACTGGCGCTATCTAGATCCAGGGGCTGGCACTGCCACACGGGCTGTGGCTGGGCATGCGGGGACGGGTGAAAGGCAGATTTGAGAAACTATGTGGTTGATGCAGGGTAAAAGAGGACTAAAGAGGGGGCGAAAGTAAGCCCATCCTCAGAGTCATCAGCCATGCAGGATTGGAAGTATGTGGTCGATTAGATTAGACCCCGTCTGGTCCTGCCTGGGGTTCTTCACAGCCATGACTCATACGGCAAGACTGAACCATCTCCCACTAGTAGCATGATAAATAAGAAGCTCGCCCCCTCGATTCTTCTTGGGAAGAAGAGAATTCCTCAGAATAATCCCAATCAACTTCACAATTGCCTTGTGCATTGGTGATCTTTGGCAAACATGGAGCGGGTCAGAAAGACTTACTTCAGCCCTCTGGCGACCTCAAAGGCGCAGATTCAGGAGATCCTACAGGAACTCCCCGTCGGCTCTGCCCACCCCTTTAGCCCTGAGCGTACTCTGCTGTGTCGTACCAACGATGGAGTTGATGAGATTGACATCTCTTCCTACCCGGAAGACTTCTTCTTCAATGCTGTAGATTTGGGCGAGATGGGCGAGATCCTCTTGAGGCGAATGGCTGGCTTCCGGAACCACCTTGGTAGGTGCTCCTTCTGTTCTGACTCAATGTTTTTATGCTGCAGCCCTACGAAATGTGGTCATCAGACACTGACAGTTTGTAGCTGTGTTTGAGGATTTCCAAATCATGCAAGCGCCCGACACGACTTTCAAGATCCCCATCGTCTCAGGCCAAATTACCATCTTGGCCGTCTCTGAGAGAACACCAACGTACTATGACTTCTGCTTTGCCGATGCGTCATGTAACACGTGTTGTTGGACTGCTCGGAATACCTTCTCAGGCATCAGCCACAGTGGTGATATTCTGAACGGGCAGGATCTCTTGGACTATGTCAAGATTGATGCCCCGTCCCTGACAGAGAAGGAAATCTGCGTGTTCATCTCCGGCTACCAATCTACTAAAATCACACGATTCTTAGGGACCAGCCCTGCGTTAATGGTCGCTGACCACGTGGACAAGGTACCGCTCAAAATCCCTTCCTAGTTTCCCAATCATGAATTCGTGCTCATCAACCTTCACAGATTCTCTACATTATTCCCGTGCCCTTGGATGCGGCCACCATTGGAGATGCAACAATTTGTTGCCCTCTGGTGATCAAACGTGATGATGAGTCTTTGATATGTTCCATTTTGCCAAAGGCAACCACGGATGTGGACATGATGTGCTCTACCGATAGACTGGAAAGCCCGTCCTTCCTGAAAGCGATACAGAGTGCTGAGTTCACCATCACTCCTCCTCGAGTGACTGCCCCGAAACGTAAGTGCTACTATATATGATCTTATGAATTGATTAGAACGCGCCAATGATAATCAAGGCTAATTGGGGAAAATAGTGCTGGGCAATGACACAGAGATGCCAGATGCTAGTTCAACGGGGGAAGATCTATCCAGTATTACCGCCAAGAGAAGTGCGTTGCTTGTCACAAATGCCGTGACTGTGCCCTCCTTCATCAATAAGGGAGAGACACAGATCATCCGGTTCGGCACAAACCTTGAGTTCAAGCTCCCAAACCAAGAGCTGCTCACGGAAACACAGCCGTCTAGTGTTGTTTTGCCTTGCATATTTGGCTCGCAGCTTCAAGGCCCAGTGCTTCTGGCTACTGGAAAGATTCCTGCTAATGTCCCGTTTGATAACGAGGCCGCCTTGAGAAATTACTACGGGGACTTGGATAACATCATTGTCATTGTCGACGACAGGATGACAGATAATGCCCGCAACATTGCCGGCTCCTACCGGCTCAACGCGCTATTCATCGTGCAGCTCGCTCCAGTCAATAAACCTAAGAATTCTGACGAGGTCTTGTCTTTGCTGGACTCGGCGAACATTAATGCCGTGACAGCACTTTCGGGCCCGCAGTCGTTGGTTCTTGTGCAAATCTTTGACAAATATTACTTCTACAGGGGTATTGCCAACAGTTCTATCCTGAATACGACAAAGTTGGCATTTGGCTCTGATGTGACTTCTATCGTCGAGTCTGCAGGTATGGGAGCGATGACTGACTCCAGGGCGAAGCGAATTATCAGCCTTGCTGATGAGAACACAATCATTCTTCCCAACTTGAACCACTTGATCAAGCCGCAAGAGCTTGAGAAACTATTTACTGAGCTTCCAATCGAGAAGCTAAATGATATGGAAGAGGACATCTCCGCAGCGATTCCACAGTTGCAGGCACTACTCAATCAGAAAGAGCTGCAGGATCTATCTCAGTTACTGGTGTCCTCGCTATCCGTAAAGGTTAGCAACTCCGTCGCTCCACTGAGGGACGCCTACATTCACTTCTTCAAGAACGAGTATCAAGCCTCGGATCCAGAATCCGTGAAGAAGAAGAACGAACTTCTTGGGGACCTCCGACGAACTACAAAGCGTATACAAAAGGCCCTAGAGCCAATCATTTCAAGCTTCGCCAATATGATGTCGTCCCAGACCACATCGAAGCGAACCCATGATCTGAAGCGGCTTGTTCGCCAGGCTCAAATTAATAGCAACGTTGAGGCTGCCAAGTCGATGACCTATGAGACTCTGGCAGGATATCTTGAAGAACATGCCATGGACATGGGTGTCATGCTCTTGAATATCGAGACTGATTCGTATTGCCGTCTGCTGGGCAACTTGAATTCGGTTGCTGTTGATGCCAGGTACTGTAACCACCCATATGAAACTCACTTCCTTCTCATTTATTTTTACTCATGACCATATTGAAACTGACCTCTTCTTTCACAGCTCGTGTTGTAATCTTGATTCGAGAGTTCTTCACTTAGAGGGATTCGACGCAGGAATCATCCTTGAGCAGTCTCAGAGCGACCACAGCGGTCCTCTTCAAAGCCAGGCTGGACCAATGCACCCTATCCTGGCTGTCCCGTATCTAGGCCAGGATAAAGGCATCGGCTCCATGTTGGCCTGGGTCTGTTGGGATGAGTTCGTCAACCTGGAGAGTCCGTATGGCGTTAGGTGGATGGAGAAGTGCAACGAAGCACACATCGCCGCATTGAGGATCATGGTGAGAGACACTCTCAGCAATGCTGTGGCGTCAAGAGAGCACAATCTCCAAGCCGGGGCCCCAGAAATCGGCCACTTGATGGGCGCGCTGCTCATGGCCGCCATGTCCAAGCTCGCGGCGATGAGAACGACTGCCCCTGTGGTAGTTAAGCAGGCCGAGGACACCGTGACGAAGTTGATGCGCGGACTGTATGGTAACCTGTTGACCATCGCCGGATCAGGGGTACGCCCTCTGAGCATGGTCTGGCAGCTGTTTGGACAGAATCCCAAGTATGACCTCCCGACGACTAACGCGGACTGGGTATGGTATGATACTGTTGTCGACTTATACCCCTACACCGGCTGGCAACGCGAGTGGTTCTACGCAAGCTTGGAGAGGTTCCTTGACAAGGCCATTCTGCGGGTGGTGACAAAGGGAGAGGACGTGAAAGAGATCAAGGGAAACCGCGTGACCGAGATGATGAAATACTGCAGGCTCCGGAACATTGAGCTCGAACACTGCCGAAGCATCATTACCGTCTTCATGCGAATGCTCACAGAGGAGAACGTGGACCTGGCAGCCGTTGCTACTAGTCTCTTGGCCCACCTGCCACACTCGCTAGAGAGGCAGAGTAAGAGTTACACCAGGATGATCAAGTATCTCAAGCATCTCTCTAGGGGAGGTGGGAGGATTCAAAACGACGACTTGGCTGCTGCCAACATCTACAATAGGCGCTCGGCTGTCTTTGGCGAGCTGAAGGGTCGTGCAGCAACGGCATGCAGAACCAATGACTGGGCCGAGTTGAAGGAGGCCTGCCAACTTTTGGTTGAGAAGCACGGTGAAATCGCTGCCCTCTGGCAAGTCAAGCCTCAGTTGCTGCTGGTACAGAACATCAAGCCATATAAAGAGCTGCTAGAAGCCGAGTTTGGTGAAGACATTACTCAGGGAGAGGAGGCTTCCAACTTTGAGTTGACGAGAAAGGTGCTCAGCGACGCCGAGGTTAAGCGCGTTCCCTGGCAGGTCGGAAAAGAAGGCCAGTTTGGCGACAAAATTGAGCCTCTCGATGAAGCCTTTGTCCACCAGATGTTGACAGGAAAGAGGCGGAACGAGCCTGAAGCCATCGAAGCGGCCGAGGAAACCATACTCGCGGTGACGACAACAGATCTGTCTCTGCAGAGTACAGAGGAGCAGTTCTCAAACTTCAAGTCGTCGCTGCAGGCCAGCTTCATCAACACAATGCAGAAGGACTTGTCGGCTGAAGATGTCTGTAATATTCTCAGGATTCCTGTTCGGACTATGAAGATATTCATCAAGGCCCTCAATCCTGAATTTGTATGGGAGGATTTGCCGCAGAACTTCAAAGTCGTCATCTTGGACCTAGTGAAGAACAGATCTTCAAGAGGCGGGAGTGAACCGGCCAAGAGATTGTTGAACATGGTGCGCGAAAGGAAGCAACTGGAGATTGAAGGTTGATTTGATTCTCGTTTAGGGCTAATGAATATTGGTTTATTGATTGAATTCGAACATTTCATCCCCTTTGTTGATGAACCCAAAAGACACGCAGAACAGAGTACTAATAAAGAGCATACAATCCAGCCGCAAGTACAATTCTAGTCAGATACCAAACTGCTAACATGAAAACTATTCTTCAGACCCTGAGGGATATGACTTGGCTCAATAATACAGCTCATGGCTTCTTGCATCCGTCGTCAGCTCTGGCCTCTCAAAAGTACCTCTCTCTAGTAAGATCGAGACATCAATATGGCCATCCTCGTCTATAAGTTGGGGAAAACTATGAAGAAGGTCATCCAACAAGGACTTCCCGCAGCGACTGCATTTCCCCGTTTCCAGGAGTCGGAAGTACCAGTCACCAGAGGAATACATGGCGTCTCCATATTCATCCTCCCCGGAGCAGGTTCCTGTAGTATGAGCGTAATCGCCAATCAAACGGTGCAGGACAGCGCAATATATTGAAAGGATGGTCTCGGGGGGGATGAAGAAGGAGTGGTTCGCCTCCGGTCGTCTCGCGCGAGCGCCCAGCTCAGGCCTCCACCACATGGCCCAATCGACTTGCTTGAACCTGCTCTTGTCCAGCTTTTGCTGCCCAGGAGAGAAGCTGAGTCGATGCCCGAATATGCAGCGCTCAATATCAGCAAGCCAAGCCGAAACAAAAGTGTACTGTCTGCTGGGGTCGGTGACTCTCTGCAGCATCAAAGATTCAGGCTCCCCATTGGACGTGTCGTTGCCGAGGACAAAGACAAAGCAGTTTCTCCCTGTTTTCATGTCTTTGAAAATATTGCTGCTTAACGCTCCATGATTTAGCGTGTGAAATACTGGCCTACTGCTGTGTGATGTTGTATTGGCCGGCAGTATCTGATTTGTCTTGATGATGGCCCTGGAGAAGGCTATTTTGCGACTTAGGGAGAATGTTTTCAAGTATTCCAGCAACGGGTTATACTCGAGAGTATTTTGAGTCTCATCAGTCGATGTAGTCTGCCCGAAAGACTTTCTTAAGGAACTGGCCAATCGGCTCAAATTGTTTTGCTTGGGCTCCATCATAGTTACGTAGGTGTCCCAATCAACCCACGCATCTGCCGGTGCCGACGGGTCTGGAAACCCACCTGGCAGGGGGAAAGCTGGCAGAGTCTTCGGCATGCCGTCGGGCAGAGAGTACGGGATGAGGCCGGGTAGGTCACCCTCGCTGAGCTCTGGTATGGTGACCATCGGTGCCAGCATGGTCAGTCCTGGGCCCGACCATTCAGCCCACAAGAATGAGGAGTGACCTGCGGCTAATTCCAGGATGAAGATCTGGATTTCAATCGGGAGACGGGGGAAGGGAGCGAAAGTCTGGCCATAGCCAGCATGTGAGGACACCGGCATTGTCTACGCAGTACACGTGTGTTGGATGGTTGATGACAGTTTGCCGTTGTCCTGGGCTTACGGAAATGCGGAGAAAGCACATATTGTGGCTTGGTCTTAACGATGGGTCCATGTAAGCAGGAGAACTTGCTGGGCAGCCAATATCCGGCGGGTATGTAAGCAAGGCAAATTAGCCCTCCTCTAAAGAGGGGGTAATATAGACTGTATCTTTAATATATTTATATCTAACTCTTATATCTTTAATATTATATAAATCTATTAATTTAAAAGCTTTTTATATAATAATTTAAGATATTATTTATTAATAGCTAATTAATTTATATATTTAATTTTATAATTTTTAGAATAAAATTAGTAGTATAATAATTAATTTATAATTTATAGGCTTATAACTTTAGAATTATAATTAGTATACCCCCTATTATAATCTCTAGATTAGGGGATAATAAATAGTTTATAGGTAAATAATATAATTCCTCTAATTATACTTAAGATATAAATATAACTTCTTTTCTATATAAATCTATAGATCTTTCTAAAGGGATTAATATATCTTTTATCTAGTTTAAACTAGATAGGTAATATATAATAATATTAATACTATTATTACTACTAGATAATCTAATAGAGTTATTTATTATAATAGTTATATAACTAGTATTAGAAGAGCTAAAAAAGTATCTAGCTAGTTAAGAGAGAGTTTTAATAGTAGTTTTAATTTCTCTTTAAGCCTTTTAAATAGTTTTCTAGTCTAAATAGCTAGGGAATAATTCTAAAGCTTTAAGAGATAATATATATAATAATAGCTTCCTTTAAGAGTTATTTACTTATTCCTAAGTTACTTAGAGGGTAAAATATAGTTTTTAAGCTTATAAGTTTATAAAAACTATATATTTATAAGCCCTAGTTTCTACTTCTATTTAGGTCTTAGCTATAGTATAATTATAAGGATAAGATTATAATACTTATAAAATAGCTTCTTTAGCTTTTAATTTTACTATCTCTTACTTCTAAATCTTAATATACTTCTTTATTAGTTCCTTAAGTTCTTTTTCCTCTTAAGTTTTAATTTTTATAAAAAGTTAATCCTTTATAAAAGTACTATCTTTTATATCTATAATATACTATATAGTCTTTATATATATAGCCTACTAGATTAACTACTTATATACTAACTTTAATACTTTAAGCTATATATTCTATAAGATAATAAAATAATCTAAAGTAATTAATATATTATTTATAG